GGGGAATGGCCACACCATAATCCCTTCTCCTCCATTCTCCTCTCAGAATCTTGGGCATGCACGCACATGTGCCTGGCGTTGAGTTTAAGCCATTGGGTCCGGGACTCAAACTGCAGCTGACTACATGGGAGTCCAACGACACAGACATTATGTCAGCTGCTGGTCCCAAATTTTATGACTTTTGACTAAAAAACATTGATGATTTTCTTCTAGGCTTTGTTCTCCGGTTTTAAGGATTTTTGTCTTGTCTTGAGCTGCTGATAGGTTCATATACCTACTATTTGAACAGAATCCCAACCTGTTTCCTGGCTGTAAGTTTTAAGCAGATTTCCTTAGCCTTTCTTTGATTTATTAAAGCTAAATCTGCTTTTCTTGAAATTAAAATATATAGTAAAAAATACATAATTAATGATCACAGTAAGCTATATAGCCTCAGCTAGGTGCTACCTTATAGTATATTCAATCTACTCAGAGTTTCATGCCAAAAGTCAGACATGTATTCATAGATACATATATGTCAGCAGAGCTTGCTATTGAAAGTAGTTAGATTATTTAAGAAATTTTGTGAATCAATAAAATGTGGGAAAAAAAGGAATGGAAAACTGTGGACACCTGAAATAGTGTGAGAGGAGGGTGAGAAATGGCAGAGGGTGAGAAATAGGGGGGAAATATATACATACATATATATACGAAACTAGAAATGGAAAATTATTGATGATAACATATATGATTAAGCCACTATGCAGTATATTCTGAACGGGAAATCACATTTTGTATGCTGTGACAATGCTCAGTGAATGAATGTAAATTAATTAGCTGAAAACAAAAAAAATTTTAAAAAAGAAAAAAAAAGATGAATAATAGAAGTTCCAAGGTTAAATAACTTTCTAAAGTAGGCCAGCAGGTGGAGTTAGAATATGCTTCCAAGCCTAATGGTTAAAAATTCATGTATTATGACAGTCAACTTTAGAGATTAAAGTATAATAATAACACATCAATCTACTTTATTATAATTTATATCTAAGCACACATACACTCTAAATAATTTCTTAAAGGTAATGTCTAATCTCCAACAATGATACTAAGGATGGCATAAAGTAAAATTTATAGTTCCTACCTCCTTCCACATTAGATAATAATTCAGTTCCACAAGCAATACAATAGAGTCCTGACTGGCAAGGCATATTACTTGGGTCCTTTCACAACAGATAAGAAAGATTAATGTTTGAAAGACTAGTTAACATTTAAATATGAATAGCATAACAGCAGTTCGGAAAAAATGGAAAATACACCAAGATAATAGACAATCCAAAATAGTAACAAATCAATACTTAACACCTTTAAAACTTTTGGAGACCAGCAGATGGTATAATGGTTATGTTGCTGGACTCCCATATAGTCGACTGCGGTTCAAGTCCCGGACCCGGTGATTTAAGACACCTTGTGTACATGAGTGCCAAGGATCCCAAGAGGAGAACAGAGGAGAAAGAATTACAGCAAGGCCATCTCCCCTGAGGGGTGATTTCTTGCTTTCTGTCTCTCTCTGGTGAGCACATGAGTCTTATAGTAAAAAATTCTCAAAAAAACAAACAAAACAAAACAAAAACTTTTCAACTGTATTTGAATAATATATAAAAGATGATGGAATCTTATTAGTTAACATAAGTGATATGCCACCTTTATAATTTCATACTCTCTAATAGCAAGGAGTCAAATTAAACACTTTAATATCTAGTTTTGTAAATATTGATACAAAATAATTTTATGTGAAAAATGATAAGCGTAAGATCAAAATCATGTAAATTCCTTAAAAATGAAGAATAAAAAAATACAAAATGTATTATAAAAATGTACTAAAATATCTGCCTAATTATGCCATGTTAACAATATTTCCTTTAATCAGTATTTACCATTAGATTTTTTTAAATTTTTTTTAAATTTTTTTTTTTTACCATTAGATATTCAAAGGTTAATTTCTGGGAACAATAAGCTTTATATAGCTTTTATTTTTTTCCCAATACATTGAAGCTTGTTTATTACAGAGTGGAATTTGATGTAAGATGGGTTGTTCTGGACCTAGTCCAAGAGGTTTACTGAAAGCACCTCATTATATGGTGGTCTTACCAATAAGGTGATCCACTGGCTCTAATCATGGATATTATAACAAGGGCTCCATTGTAGAGTACAGGAAGCCAGGCGGCTAATGGTTCTATCAAATGAAACCTTAAGAAACAATTTTTTTTTTCCAGAGACATGAAAATTGTTTAGGGCTACAGGATCATATAAGCTATGGTCATTCTTCTTAATTTCCATTTTCTGAAGTAATGTCCTTTATTGTATATCTCATAGCTGTCATAGCTGCACAGATACTTCATGTTAAAATTTTAGCTGCCTTAGACATTCATAGTCTAATGCAGTCTTAATTTTTTTTGATTAGGAAAAATTTCATTACGCTAATTACCAATACTATCATTTACAAAAGAATAACTGCTTTTACCTATGGTAATAGACAAGAAACTACCAAGAATTTGTGAAGGTTAAAGTAAACTATTGAGTAACTCATTGAGAAACTGGAGATGAAAAGGCGTATAAGCAAGAATAGTTTTTGGGAAATCAAATGCAATAGGAATGCTGTCAATGAGAGATGACCTGCAATAACCAGTCTTTCAAGTGATTTTACAATCAGAACTTTTAATGAAGTAATTTTCTAAGCAGTTCCAAAGATTTAAATATTTTGCATGTACTTTATTATAGGAAACTATTGGGTTGTCAGAAAAGTCATGAGGCCTTTTTACATAGAAAAAATATGTCATGACTTTTCCACCATCCCAATAATATGACAAACTCCTATTGCAGAAAAATGTGGGAAAGATTTTCTTTCTAAAATTAATGTTCTGAATAGAAAAGTTCATAAGAATAAAAACAAAGCCTTATGTAAACTTAGAAGCAGTGCTAAATTTAAAAGAACATGTAATAATTAAATGCATAGTAGTAACTTAGCAAGTTTCTCATTAATATCGAGAATGACTCTAGAAAATTTTGAATGATTCATCTAAAATTCAAATGTCAAGCTATGAAACATGTATTTTTTACATTATACCTTTCTTCCATGAATAAAACCCTTTCTCCAACAGGTAGTTTTCCTGGTTCGTGGCCTGTATGTTCTACATACTCTCAGCCCTTGAATAAATTAAGTATTAGAGAAAATTATTTCAATGCATTGAATGTTTAAAACAAATTATCTAGTAATTTTTACCTTATATATCTCAAAAATTTTATAAGATAAAGCAGCCAAATAATGTTTTTAGGGAGAGATATTTTTGCTATAGGGTGTGTGCTCTCACGGGAGAGACAGAGACAGAGGACAGAAAGCAAGAAATCACCCTCCCAAGAAGATAGCCACATTGTGATCCTTTCTCCTCCATTCTCCTCTGAGGACTTTGGGCATGCACACACATGCATCTGGCATGAGTTTCAAGCCTCCAGGCCTGGGACACAAATGGTGGTTGGCCAGGAAGGAGTCCAGAGACATAACCATTATGGCACACCACCTGCTGGCCCCACAATACAAAATTTTGAAACATCCCTTGGAATTGCTAAAAGCTTCTGCCCATCTCAGTGCAGATTCTGGTAACAGAAATTTTTAAGCTTCAGAGAGGATTAGATT